AGGCCCCACCTCCTGGGATGGTCTGTGTAGATTGCGGCAAAATGGCATCCAAGTTCCGATGCCTCGATTGCGCCTTGCAGCCTGTATATTGTCGCGCCTGTTGCCGCCAGACTCATAGGAGGCTTCATACCCATCGGGTCCAATACTGGAATGGCCGCTATTTCCGTACCGCCGGTCTCTGGGAGACAGGCTTGGTGTTGAATTTGGGCCATAATGGATCCCCTTGTCCCAACTTTGCGGAGTTCGAGGAACAAGAAAATGAGAGGCAGGATGCAAGTTGTGAGGCTGCAGAAGCCGCAGGACCAGCGGCGCCCACCAGCCCTGTTGGCCAAACATGGGCGGCGCCCGCACCCCGCACTCCCAATTGATCTTGATATTCGAGTTCAAGCAGTGTCTGATGACCTTCTCGGGGAAGATGAGTCCATGGAGGCTGATGCAGATGTCGGCGATGATGGCGAAGACATCAAGACTGAACCATCTGATCAGGATGGAGACAATGTGTGACCGAAGAAGAAGCTGACAACAACACTCAGGAACACTACAAAAGAACAAAGGGTTTCGGTACAGCTCCTCAACCTGACACAGAGGATTCTCTGGGCAACCCCTTTGTGCTTGTCATTGAAACAAACGGAATTCACCATCTTCCTTTGCATTTATGCACCTGTCCAGGAGCTGCGCCCACCGATGAGCAGCTGTTGACTTCACAGTTATTTCCAACAAGCTTTCAAAATGTTAAAACACTGTTCACTTTCAAGGTACTGGATGATTTTCGGTTGTCCAATCTTACCTGCAAAACTTCCGCATATCAATACTATCTCAAGCTGCGGCGCCTGACTTCTCCGGCTTTCCCCAAGTCGGTTCCGGTACACATTGCTTTGGTTGATATACTTGAATGTTGTCTCACCCATCACCCCAGGACAGGTATCGCGAATTCAGAAGAGTTAGTCGGCAATGGCGCAATTTGGAACTTAAAAAATGCTTTGGTTTTGGACATGAGCCTAGAATGCCGAAGGCTGGAGAGATGGCATATGGTTGTGCATCTTGCGCCCAGCCAGGTGTTAACTTGCCAATGAACTGGAAAGAGGACCCACATCCATAAGCATGAACTGCCCTTTGTTCACATACTCATTCCCATTGGCAGCGAGGTCTTCACACGATTTCTTTGTGTTGATGGTAACTTCTCAGCTGATCACCTGAAGCAACGAAATGCCATGGACGATGTATGGCTGACCAGTGGGGAAGGAATGATGACAGAGAAGGAGGCTTACAAGAAGTACCTGGCGCAGCCCACTGTTACTCGCCAGGTGAGTTGGACCGCCTTCCCATATGTGGCGCATCCCAGTTCCGCCGCCCGAGGTTGCTGCACCACGTAGCCATGTAGCATTTGATGCTTTTGGGCGCAGAATCCTACTGCGCCCACTGCCCCTTTCAAAACCTGACTCATTTGGTTGTAGGTCAAATCAACATGCAGCAACCACCAGGCCATCAACAATGCAAGTCAGAATCACGCAGGCTGTGATGCAACTGGCATTGCGGCATTTGCCTGCCCCCGATCAGGCGCCTTCATTCCAGGCAGCGTTGTTGACTTTCAGAAGGGCGAGCGCCAGCTGAACATCGACTATGCTCTTTGTGAGGCGCTGAAGAACATGGGACTGAATGGTTTGGACGATATCATGATCATATATGACGTGATGTGTCAGTATCATGTTAATCTCTGGGACAGGATTGCTAACAATCCAAATCTTTCCATCTCTGAGAAGGCTAATTTGATCATGGGAATTGGTTTATTTCATGTCCATGGTCATCAGGATGAGTGCCTCTTCCGGTTGGCGACGTCATTTATTCCCGGAGCTGGAATGGTAGATGGGGAAATATTGGAAAGCCTTTGGGCGCAGCTCAATGATATCTCGAGGAGTACCCGCACGGNCACCCTCGCCCATCGGGCCGAGGTCTTGGACGACCATATGAATGACAGCAACTGGAATAAAATGGTCAACATTGTCTCCTCAGTCATTGCCAAGTACAGGAAGGCTGTCGTTGGTCTGGTGGACAGCAAAGACTACTTTGACCAACTGAATAGT